TATAAAGTTATTATTAAGGCTTTTTCATATCTTGAGTTTAAGGCGGATAATTTTTTGGGCTTTTTTTGTACGATTTTTGAATTCGGATTACTGTAGTTCAGATTATGTTTTTTGGATTCAGATTACGGTAGTTGAGATTAATTCAGGTTACGGTAGTTGAGATTATTTTTCGGTATTTGAGATTCTCGTATTTCTAATACACTTCTTGAATTCAGTTTTCTCCGTTTGTTGTTTTCCCGTAATTGAGATTTTTTTTATTTCCAAAAGATATGTATTTGTTTTCACGTATTTCTTCATAATTCAGAGTCTCCTGTCTTCAGATGATGTATAAGTACGCAGAGCGATGTTTTCCTCGCGATCGATTCCAGTGGGCGAAATGTGTTTTCAAATATATGTGTGATGCATTATCACCGGATCTCACCCAACTCATTGTTCTTCTAGCCGAGGTTTGTGCAGCCTTTACTAGTTTGAGATGTTTTTTTTTAATTTCTGTAAGGCAAAAAATGGATGATTTTCATTTTTTTTAATGATTTTTTAAATGATTTTCAATGATTTTTAATAATTTTGTTTAAGAAATCTTGCATCCGAGTTTTATATAGTTATTTCTTTTCTTGATCTTTGGTTTCAGCGCAGGTAGAAATATTTTTTGTGTGACTTTTTATAAGATTAAAGTCGTCAACGGATAAAGTGGAATTATCGAAATTTTCATATTTTGCGTTTTACATTTTTTTTATATAATATGTAATAAAGATATGCTGAATGCATAATTGTTCAAGATAGCTGTAATAATTAACACCTGCATAGTTAAGGGCTCCAAATTATGAAGCGCAACTGATATTTTTATCAAATTATGTACTAGCATATATAACTTAATAAGGGTTGAAACACAGGCTGCGTCACAAAATGTCTTCATACACATGACATTCAAGTGAAATCTTTCTATTCTTCTATTTCTTATTAATAAATTAGTGAGTTATTGCTGCATTGTCCTTTCTTCTTTAACTGTTGTCTCCAGTCCTTGCCTCGAACTCCTGACTAGTACTTTGCTCTATGTTGCTCCTCAAATCCTGCATTCATGCCGGTGTTTGGGCACCTATCACCCACCTTAATAAGTAAACACACACCCACAATGT